CGATCAATATGCATTTTTTTTTATCGATAAGCTTTTTTTCTATATCACCCAGCCCTACGTTTAAGGCATCATTAATGCACAATCTGCAAAGAAAAAAATACTAAAAGCATTAACATTTATATTCAGTCTTTATGTAAAATGTTAAAATTATATGCAAGATGTACTGTAATAATGACAAATCCATGTATATTACATGTTCATCATCAATTTAACACTATTGGCTCATCAGTATTATTCTGCTCCATTAACACATTAATTTTCATTCTGATGGATTTGTATAATATGTTGTATTACATGATTTATAGACTTCATAATGACTATGCAATGTGATGGGCTTATTTATTTATTTATTCCAAGTTAAAGTTAATCTACTGATGCTATGTAACAGCCAGTCTGTGTCAAAGTGATGAATTTATCTTTATTTTAAATGTCTTCAGTCCCCTTGGAAATGAGAACATCATGGTTGTTCGATGCTGTAGCGCACCGATTGTTTACATTGAGACCTGTCTAACTAGGGAGTACCAATATGGCGGCTGGTGGCTTCACTTCAACCCCGTATTTCCAACGGCCAATCCAGTGAATAAACAGAGATCAGTGGTTAAATACTGAGGGTTCATTTCTTTACTTTGTACTTGTGAATGTGTAATGATAATTTAAAAAAGCTAAAATGTGGCGCAAAGCGATTCATCACAGCTGAAGCTGGTTGTAGGAAGAGCTTTAGTTTTCTGTTCTGCATTTTTGAACGTCATGTGCAAACTCACACAGAGATTTCTGTTGTCGTAGCCAAAAGAATTTAATGGTACGATGACAGACAATGAATATGCTGCATATGTGAATAAGGAGACTGATGTCTGTGTGGGACAGATTCCAGCACTGCGCTACTTTAGGCGGCGGCATGTTGGAGAAGCTAGCTCAACTCTCATGTTTTATTTTTTTAACTCCTCTGTTTGTGGATCAGCTTTTTGTTTTGTTTTTTTGTCTTTGCATTGAATGCTGTAAAACTGGAAGGATTATTACTGATCTTTCCTTCCTTTTTGGACACTTGTTATGACCCATAACCATAGCAACCAATGCAAGTTGATTTATTTTTGGTTGTTTTTTTCATACCTGGGAGCAGCTCTTCAACATCTTGAGATGATTTCATAAAGACAAATTAATTTTTAAAGTAAAAATGATGATAGACAGCAGTAGCGAGGACCCCTTTTCAGAAGATTGTTAAACAAGTTTTCAAAAAGAGGCTCCAGGTCGAAAATGGGTTTGTTTACAAACTGTCTATGAGTTACTGCAAGACTTAATTTCCGTTCGGGATTAATTGGTTATTTTTAAATTGAACTTGATTGAATTATTATAGAGGGAAACATTCTTTATGCAGCTAAACCAAAATAAAACAAATACAATGACTGAACTTTTGACATTTTGTAAACAAACGAAGCTGAATAACAACGGCTACCAGAGAATCATGGAGGATGGACATCAATGATGGTAAACAAAAGGAATGTTCTTGATGCATGAACTGGTGCCTCCCTAAGAGGAATTTCCTTTATTGTTCCTTTAATGGCTGCAATTAACTTTTCTTTGTAGAACTAAATTCCTCGCAGTGAATATGGGGGTTTCTGAACTGGTTTTGCAAGTGCTATCTATTACCTAATCAATCACAAGTAACATGCCCACATATTAAACATTTATGTTTTTGGGTTTATTTAGAGCTCATTATTTGAAACCTTTGAAGATCGTGTCCTTAGTCAGGAACAACTGTAAACCGAAAGTGAGATGTCAAAAAGTCTGGTGCTA